TAGGTCACAGCTACCTCATTTCCATCATGTTCTTTGGCAGCAAGGCCATAGGGGTTGGGTGTAAACGGGGCTGCCTAGTCAGGACCAATAAGCCCGCTGCAGTTTCCTCCATTCTCAAGTTCTTAAATGTGCATCTAGGCCCACATCCAAAGTAAGATTGCAGCATTTTGTTTCTGCAAAACATTGCATGCACTCTTCCATATATAATGCTGATTTTGGGATGGCATCCTGTAGTGCTAAAGCATTTACTCTTTTATTGATGTGTATTTTGACCTCCAAATTAGGGCAGAGTGTTTACAAAAGTTTATGTGGTCTACTTTTTCCACATTGTTGGACGAGAAAGTATGTGGTGTTGTGTATGAATGAGAGGTTGGTAGTTTCAGTGAATGTAAGGATGTATGCATTGGCTACAATCTTTGGAGAAAGATCTTGTCATCCACCTAGTCTTAAGCAAACTGGAAGTGAGTTGGACTTACACATTTTGGTAAAAAACGAATTGTTACTCATTATTTTATTGGCATAATTATTTGATATGCATGAAGTTTCTTAAGCTCACATTTGTACAATTATTTTTCATTGCTTCTTTATGTAAAATTAATAAGCGTAGTCTTCACCTATTACTTATCTCTCTTGTTCTTCTCATATACTTTTTTGCTGCTACTTTGAACTTTTGTAATTAACAGTCAACTTGATTGTTCAAAGATACAGAAGTGATCACACACTATCTATGCATGGGCCCAAAATAGGGTAGTGATTTTATATGTCAGGGTGGGGATTCTGTGTTGGTGTCATATCCTGACTGTTGCATGCTTCCCTATGATTTGCAAGGGGCCACATTGTGATAATTATTATGGAAACAGAAACACTTGGTATCTTAAAATGTATCAGCAAGAAGTGCACCAGTGTATCTCTACTATTTAGAATTATTGGAACTGTCAGACGTAAGCCAAAACCTAGATATGTAGCCTTTTTGTGCAGTTGAAAAAACATATTTTAGGGGTTTTATTTAGTTGGTGTAGTGACATGAAAAGGAAATATCTTGTGGGTGTAGAAAATATCGCTTCAAATCCAAAATAAGATTATGATCTTATATTCCCAGACAGTTGTACTCAATAAACATTTTACTAGTCAAGGTAAGTGAGTAATTCAGTGAAAATGGTCAGTACTGTCAAGATTACTTATACAATTATTTCTAAAGATTTGTACAGGTAGTTTATTGTAAGTCAAGTAATGTAATGTATAATTTTTTTAATTCAAGTTTAATAACGTGTCTACAGAATTTAGGATTATTGAATAAATTTATGAAGACAGTTTTGAAAAAATGTGCCCACAGAACTGAGCATATCTTTTGTTGTGATAAATAGGTGACCTTTGTGTTGTTTACAAATTTGTGATAGATGAATGATGAATAATACTGTAATTGCTTTTTGTACTGATGAAGGGTTTTATTACATCCTTAATAATTTTTTACTTTATTTTTTACTCTCTTTCCAACAAGTGACCTACAAGATCTACCTTCACTAAACACCTTGGCAGAATGTCATTGTCAGTGGTCATGTACACTCACTACAGAAAGTATCTGCAAGGTAGGGTCCGGTGGATGTCAAAATGAACACTGCGACTCCTGTTGTATCGGTAGGGTTGTCAAATTCCTTCGTCCGTTGTGTCATTGTCTAGCAAAATATTTTGTAGATACTTTTTATAGCGAGTGTACCTCATTATTTTGCACCATAATACGTTACCCATTTGGATAATGTTTTGATGCAAGCAGCTCATAACCTTATTGAATCAGGGTTTTGAAAATGATCCAGTGGTTGTCTCAAACACCCTGTGAGGCTTCAGATGGAGATGCCAATTTCACACTTGTACGGATTACTGTGCAAGTAATAATTTAAGATTTAAGCTCCAATTCTTAATTGTAATTGAAAGGCCAAGATTATGAGTAAACATTAAACATATTAACATTCAGTGCACTATTTCAATACCTTTTATAAAATTGTATTTTTCTGTAATAACAGTACTGTAGTGATAAAACATATTACTGTACTGTACTGAATAGTACCAATAACGGTACTGTACCACTACAGGTACTAGTAATGCAGTAGTGACAACAGTAGCTACTAGCTACTGTACTACTAGTAGTAATAACATTACTACATACTAGTAATAGCAACAATACAGTAGTGTATCTGTACTACTGTAGCAATATAGTAGAAGTGTAAACAGTAGTACAGGACCGGTGATAATAAGTCAGTACACTAGTAGCAATGATCAATGTTTAAAACCTGTAAAGTTCAAGAATTGTATGGTTTCCGATCTAAAGAGCAAGATTAGCGCATGATTTTGGAGATTACTCTATATTTTGTGCATTCTCACAACCCACATATTCTTTATCTTTAAACTTATTGTATCATGTTATCTGCCAAACAACACAATGAAACTTTTTTCCATGATAGTGTGGCAAAATTATAAAATTTGTGCAGAAAGTTAAATAAAGGCAGGGCAAAGCATATCAATACAGGTACATGAGCAAGGATAGTGGTGTGTGAGTGGCTTAAGCAACAGAAATAAGTACCATTTGACTGTACAGTACAATCAGCCAGGGAGGGGAGAAAAATCCTTTGTGTTCATTGACTCATGGCAAGGGAAGGTTACCTTATGTACCCTGGATAGGAGAGGACCCATAGCCACTGTAAGGAACTTAGGTTTCTGACATTTTTTGTTTCTTAGAATTATCTGCCTGATGGATGAAAATCGTCAGAACAGTGTTCTGTTACCTCCATCTCCAACGAACTGGATAAAGTAAAGGATATTTGTTGCTGTTGAGAATTGGAACTAACTGAGCAGGGGCAGTACAGTATGGTTAGGGATGGTAGATAGCCAGGGCCAATGCTATAAGTTTTACTGGAAAAAATGGTTAGTGCCACCATCACCTAACACCGCCTCACACCTACCAGTCCAGTATGACTTTATAGATGGCTGCAACAACTGATTAAAAAGTGAAATTGGTTATCTAATTGTTGATGTCTGTTTTCTATACCCTCTACTTCTACGTTTCATACTGATAATATGAAGCTCATTTTTTATAAATCGCACTCAATGTCATTGAGTCTCTTTTTAAAAATCGCTGTTGTGCCCAGATTCACCGGAGACAAACACAGAGGACACAAGAGAAATAAAATGTCCAGTGGCCACATACAGTATTCAAGAAATACAGTATGTACTAAAGTTTATTTTTTGCTAAGCTTTCACTTTGAGAAGTCAAAGTGGATCCCATAGAAATCATACCGGGTGTAATGTGTCCCAAAGAACACTTACAGGGTGTAATGTATCCCAAAGAACACTTACAGGGTGTAATGTGTCCCAAAGAATACTTACAGGATGTAATGTGTCCTAAAGAACACTTACAGGGTGTAATGTGTCCCAAAGAACACTTACAGGGTGTAATGTATCCCAAAGAACACTTACAGGGTGTAATGTGTCCTAAAGAACACTTACAGGGTGTAATGTGTCCCAAAGAATACTTACAGGATGTAATGTCTCCTAAAGAACACTTATTGGGTGTAATGTGTCCCAAAGAACACTTACAGGGTGTAATGTATCCCAAAGAACACTTACAGGGTGTAATGTGTCCTAAAGAACACTTACAGGGTGTAATGTGTCCCAAAGAATACTTACAGGATGTAATGTCTCCTAAAGAACACTTATTGGGTGTAATGTGTCCCAAAGAACACTTACAGGGTGTAATGTATCCCAAAGAACACTTACAGGGTGTAATGTGTCCTAAAGAACACTTATTGGGTGTAATGTGTCCCAAAGAACACTTACAGGGTGTAATGTGTCCCAAAGAATACTTACAGGATGTAATGTGTCCTAAAGAACACTTACAGGGTGTAATGTGTCCTAAAGAACACTTATTGGGTGTAATGTGTCCCAAAGAACACTTACAGGGTGTAATGTGTCCCAAAGAACACTTACAGGATGTAATGTGTCCTAAAGAACACTTACAGGGTGTAATGTGTCCCAAAGAATACTTACAGGATGTAATGTGTCCTAAAGAACACTTACAGGGTGTAATGTGTCCCAAAGAATACTTACAGGATGTAATGTCTCCTAAAGAACACTTATTGGGTGTAATGTGTCCCAAAGAACACTTACAGGGTGTAATGTGTCCTAAAGAACACTTATTGGGTGTAATGTGTCCCAAAGAATACTTAGAGTGTAATGTGTTCCAAAGAACTCCTTAGATGCAGAGTGCTGATTGTGTCCTGGGTTCAATTCCTGGCCCAGGATAGATGTGAGAAGTGTGTTATCCAGTGTGACACTACCAAACATCACACGGTGTTATAGTTTCTTGTACTATCACTGTACAATAAAGCCCGGCCATATAAAGGTAATAATAAAAACCAGCCCAACCTTCCGAGCGGCTAGTAATCTGAGAAGTGATATAATTAATAAAAAATAAATCAAGCTTTTTTACTTTATTAACTAGGCTTATTGTGGCCTTCTTAGACTATCTTCGGTTATGCAGACTTATTGTTTATAACTTTGTATACCTGAATATAGATACAGGTATTTCTATCATAATTATTAACTCTAGATGGGTTAGTTTAATTGCTAATCTTGTTACTCGCTTAAAAACCTTTGTCGTTGAAACTCGGTAATTAATATAACATCAACGTAAATATCTGTATGCGTACATTGTGCAATACATAAATACCTGCGCTGTCTGTGTACATTGTTCACCTGCACCGCCTGATTACATAATAAACCAATAAACCTTCCAAAGAATCATATCATCTGTTTTACTCGCTTAATCATCAAATATTACACCGATTCTTTATTTCCTTATTGTATACAGGTATGTTTTAAAATTGAGACTGCACTAAAATTGTGTTATGTTTACTGTGTTGTCAATTCATTCACAAAACACCATCCAATATATAGGAAAATTTCTAACTGGCATCCCGTTCCCCAGCTGCTGAGGCTCGGGGTGGCAGGAGAATCGTCAGAACGCTCTCAGCCAGTGAACAGTGAGGAGAAACTTTAATACAAGTGTGCGCTATGTCTCAATCCCTTGCTAATATGATTGCCGAGAATAATACTCATTTCTTTGAAGGAGTGGAGAAACTCATGGAAGTGTGGTTTACTAGGAAGGATGGAATGACTTCAAATTGTGATCTGAGGAAAATCCCAAGGTAGGAAGAACCGGATAAATGTTTGCTGCTCAAGTCACAGGCTGGTCCTGCTTGTATTGAGCTGCGGTGTTGCCACTTACCATGTTAACGGGAGTGATAAGTGGTTGTTTAGAGGTTTTCTGTGGTGTTTGTATGGAATTTACTATAGTTGGTGCCCTTTTTTTTTATCTTCAGTGATTTCTTGGTGGCAGTAAATGTGTATATTGGTGAAACATTTGTAAAAGATAAATGGTGCGTTGTTTGGTATTTGGTGAACCTGCTGGACGATGAACTGAACACGTATGGCTACCCGGCAAATACTGTAATCTTTGTGAATGCTGAAGTATGTGAAAAACAGTGAATTATGCCCCTTAGTTAACTTGACATTGTGTATATACATTAATAGTGCGTTGTAAAGGTTTTTATCGCACGGAAATGAACCTTCAGGTCACTTTGTATTGTTTATCTTGTATTGGTTAGTGAAAATATTAAGCGTATTAATTCTGAATTCTTATAATACTTGTGAGAGCAGATGTAGTCTTCCCATAGATGTTCCTGCTCTCTTGTTTGGTAGCTTCAATGACCTAGAACATAATTTGGTGTATTGATGTGATTTGTTTTCCACGATGAGGTGTACAGTATATTGTCACTTTTTTACCACAAATGTAGCCCAACAATTAAATTTACTTGTAACAAAGCGCCTGTGTGAATTTAACTGAATTATTTCTTGTAGGTGGAGACTATTTAGTATACAATATGCACCTTTAGATGTGACACAGTACAGCAGCTGAAATTAACTATTCGCTAGGTATATATGTGTATAAATAACTCAAGGTAGACACAACTTAACAGTTTGTTCATGCAACATCAGAACGCAAGAGTGGACGAAACAATAGCGGGCCTATTACACCATACTGGCAATCCTGTTTACACAACCCCTGTCACTCATATATTCGTCCAACTTATATTTGAAGCCACCCAGCGTGTTTGATAACTTGTTCCACTCTTCCACTATATTCCCAAACCAGTGTTTACCTATCTCGCGCCTAAATCTAAATTTGTCTAATTTAAAACCATTGTTCCGAATTCGCTACTGGTTGGATATTTAAAGTACCTTTGTTATATCACTTTTGTTTAGCCCTGACTTCCATTTATACACCTCTATCATATTGCCCTTCACTCTACGTCTCTCGAGGGAGTGCAAGTTAAGATGCTTTAATCTGTCGACTCAAGGTTCCTAATGTCAGGGAGTAGTTTTGTTATCCCCCTCTGCATGCTTTCTAGGGATTCTATATCCATTCTGTAGTACGGTGACCAGAAGTCCAGAACTGAATTGCGTAATCGAAATGAGTTCTCACAAGCGCAAGATATAGTTTTAGGATGACTTCACTGGTCGTGTAACTAACACTCATTTATATGAACCCAAGTACTTTATTTGCCTTGTTTCGAGCAAATACACAGTGCTTTCTTGATTTAAATTATTATCTGTTGGACGAAAGAGCATTGGTATACTATGTATTGCACAATGTACACAAAAACAGATATTTACGTTGAGGTTATATTAATTTCTGAGTTTCAACGACAAAGGTTTTTAATCGAGTAACAAGATTAGCAATTAAACTAACCCATCTACAGTTAAAAATTATGAGAGAAATACCTGTATCTATATTCAGGAATACAAAGTTATAAACAATAAGTCTGCATAACCGAAGATAGTCTAAGAAGGCCACAATAAGCCTAGTTAATAAGGTCAAAAAGTTTGATTTATTTTTATTAATTATATCACTTCTCAGATTGTGGACCATCTACAGCAGTGGTTCCCAAACTTTTCCTGATCATTACCCACTTTTCATATATGATCCTTATCCATGGCCCCCCTCTCCCAATCCATATCTCTAGCTGGCTCAGCTGCTGACTGGCTGTTCTAGTGTGGTGGGGCTTGGGATTTTTATGTGTACATAGCCTCAGCTTATGGCCCCCTAAATTTTGCTGGGGGGGCCATGGCCCCCAGTTTGGGAAGGTTAAGGTAGGTGGTCTTAGGTGGTAAAGAGGCGAGGTTGGTGATGGTCTTGGGGGTAAGGAGGAAGCGTGACTTGTGAAGTGATGATGATATGTTGGAAGACTTGAAGGAAAAGTGTGATGGTGCCAATGCACAAGTGGGGGGGGGGATGGACAGTGGAAATAATGGGGGTATTAAGTTAATGGGTGCATGTTGTGAAGGTTTGAATCAAATATCGGACAGGAGGGTTAAAAGAGATAATGTTATAAATGCAGTACGTATGTATGTGTGCTTAAGTAAGGAAACGAGGGGAAGCTGTCTTATAAGTGTTGGAATGGCAGGAGAATCTTAACAGTTGGTGGTTAAAACTGGGAAGACAGAGGGTGTAGTTTATAGAAAGACGGAAGACACTGGGTTCAGGATTATAGATAGGAAAAATGGTGAGTTGATGCAGGAATTGGTGGACAAATTTAATTACAGGACTTTGTATAAGAGGGACAGAGGGAGGAAGTGGTTAATATGGTAAGGGCGAGAAAGGTATCGCTACACTGGCTGCGTCTGTTTACAAGAAGCAGATATGGTGCATCTGTTTTAACCATGCACGCCACCAGACTACAACAGTGGGCATATTAGACAGGCTGAAGGAGTTACCGACACTTACTGCGTCGGTGTTGCTGTATGACGCAGTGATTTGGACTTGAGGAAAGAGGAGGAATTGTTTGAAGCAAGTGACATGAGGATGTTGCTGCGTGTATTGGGAACGTCACTCAGGAACAGGTTGGGAAATGAAGCTATTAGAGCGAGAGGAGGAGTGTGACATGTATGATTAATGGGATGGTAGAGGTAAGTTTGTGGTGGTTTGGCCATATACAAAGAGGAGTTGGGATCACGAAGGGAGGACATCATTAGGGATAAGACTAGTTAAGGTGGAGGAAGATTTGTAAGGCGTCAGGCCGAGATTGGAATGTGGTTGAGACGGGTTCGAGAAGGTGACCCCTGATATTTTGGGATTTTTAAGAGAAAAATAACATGTTGCCATGCTTTTAGGACACTTTATTTGACATAACTTATGGCAGTACGTCTCCATGTCTTTAGAGTTTAGACAATATTCCCCTAGTTCCAAGCCTCTTGGTTGAGGTTTGGGAGCTGCCAATGGAAGTGCGGCGACAGTTTGTGTTAGCTTACAGTTGATATTGTATCCAACGGTTTCTAGACCTGTTAATAAGCGCTTTTGTGTTGGGGATAATTACTTTCATGTTTATGCTGACTATGGTTGCTTCGGCTCTGGTTACCCGATACGCGTGGTGTTGGGTATCTCCCACGCTGTCCAGTGATGCTCTTATTTCCCACGCTGTCCAGTGATGTTCTTATTTCCCACGCTGTCCAGTGATGTTCTTATTTCCCACGCTGTCCAGTGATGTTCTTATTTCCCACGCTGTCCAGTGATGTTCTTATTTCCCACGCTGTCCAGTGATGTTCTTATTTCCCACGCTGTCCAGTGAAGTGTCTCGTGGTATCCTCAGAGTGCTCTCGTCTATACTTCATATTGTTGTCTGAAGTGTTTAGTGAGCATCCTGGCATAGGGACCCACTTTATCATTTATAGATGACTTCGTCAGATATAAGCCAGCCTTTGCAGCCTCTATCTTGTTGCGGTTCTCCTAACCTTGAAGGTGACTCTTCGTACTTGAGAACAGGGGTTTTGCAGCTTTAGTCCCTTGAGGAGTGCCCTTCAGACCATCAAGTCTTTAGTCCCACTCCACAGTTTGGTTCTCAAGATTTTAGTGATGCTCGTGCTCGTAGGGCGACTTGGCCTTCGATTAGACGTGTGTTGGGTACCAGCATGCGTGGTTGTGTCTGGCAGTGAGAAGGCGGACAAGATGGCCAGGGCTGCAGCATCCAGTTTGTTTCACCCACTGTCTTATTGGAATATATCTATACAGTACGTCCTGGGATTAGGAATTTCGTTTGTAATACCATTGTGGACCCTAACAAGCTCTGTGATCTTATGGCGTTGGTTCTATATGGATGTATCTTTGAAGTCGTTGGAAATGGGAGTCAGCCTTGGCCAAGCTCAGGACCTGGGCCCAATTAGAATACGATGGCTACCAGGTCTGTGTATTACGTCAGAAAGCAGACAGCCGCACACCCATCCCCAACATCGTGAGATGTACCCACAACACTTTCGTAGCTCGTCCTCCTGATGGAGGCACAATGCTCATCACCTGCATGTTGGCCAAATATTTAATAAATAATATTGAAGCAATATCCTTCCTTCCTTGGGCTTTATAAGTATATATATATTATTTTATATGTACTAGAGACTCCTGTCGGATGCTGCTAGTAACACTACAGGGGTACCTCGTGACACTACAAGGACCCCGTTACCTATAATATGGAATAAACTGTTGAAATTGAATTGCCTGGTCTACGTTACGTTGCAATAGGGGCTGGGTGTAAATGGGACTGCCCAGTATGGGCCAATAGGCTCGCTGCAGTTTCTTCCATTCTATGTACTCCACTAGTGACGTTACTCCTATCTGATTTAGTGCCGTTATTGCCTACTCGCTGTTTCCTGTCCTGTCACCACGCCCTAATCCATTTTAGAATATCTCCTCCAATGCCATAAGCCTCCACTTTTCGTATTAATCTTTCGTGGGGGACTGTTGAAGGCATTGCTCAAGTCGAGATATACCACATCATAATCGTGCCCGTCGTCCACTGTTTCGAAAAAAGCTGAAAAGAGATGTTACTGCCGCTTTCTCCCGGTTCTCAGAATGACTGTGACAGATAGATAAATAGATACAGTATTTATTCAATAAAATAGCCATGCAAGTTAACATTACTCAGTTTATGTATAGACAAGGGTTTGTTTATTTGGGAGGCTGGCTTCCTCCCACAAATTTAAGTTCCAGTACATAATTTAAGTCATTACGTCTTTTCATGAGCAGTACCGTACTAGTCTTAATCTGTCATGCTTGCTTCATTTTTAGATAACTTTTTTGATATTCGGTATCATTGAA